TGCAGGCTACAGCCAAACTTCTGTGATGTGATGTTGAACTGCCTTTGTGTTAAAACTTGAGCTGAGTATCGGTATTTAATTAGCAACTGCTGTGGAGTGCTGGGTGCCATCTGTGCCCCAACATTATTCTAAACCAGAATATATTAACAGTGAGTAGAAGGGGTTGAATTAAAATGCAAGTGCAAACAGGGCTACTTCCCTTCTCCTTCAATTTGGTCATGTTGGCTTCTGGTACAGTAGTTAGGTCATGGAGAACTAAAGTAAGGGTGACAAAGAAAAGCCATTTCCTGTGTGCTTTACTGCTGTTCACTTATGTTGCGTCTCTAAAAGGGTTTCCTGCTCCTTGGGAGAACTTCTAGGGGCTTCCAAATAGGAAAAGCTTAAAAATTGCTTGGAGAATGTATGTGATTCTGTTATCTAAATCCATAATGTTCCTCTGGTGACACCGCAGGAAATTCAGTGATGGGGGAGGATCTGGGTTTTCATGTAAAGAATTTCAAATACCAAACTAAATGCTCTATCTAATGAGGGTCAGTTTGCCACCCTGTGGAAGTTGGTGCCCTGCTGAGTTGGATGAGAGTCAGGTGCTTAAAATAAGTACTAAGCATTTGGAAAAGAGGGAGGGTGATGAGATGGCAAAACTGCCAGCTGTGTCAGTTATTCAGGACAGTAGGAACTTGAGACCACTGTGAGGAACTTCAAAGTCAGATGGCAGATAAAAGGCAGTGTTGACAAATGCACGACAGTATACATTGGAAGAAATAATTTAAAATGCCTACTGTTTGGTTCCAGGTTAAATAATGAACAGGATAGAGAAGAGTTGTGTGCTCTTGTTTGTCCTTTCTCACAGTGCAAGAGCAAATAACTGAATATTATTGCCTTTAAAACTTTGAAAAAAAACATTTTTGTTCAACATATGTACTGTAAGAGCTGTTTGAGATTATAAAAAGATTGGACTTTTGCATGTCTACCTACAGATGAGATGAAGAACAAAACATACAGGACTGAAAGTCTTTATGGGAGGCAGGGGAGGATTAAGAAGAAACAATAAGTTTGGAATATTGTTGTGTGGCCTATTCAGGATTTTCCTGCATCAGCCTTTTGTTGCTGGGGGAACAGGCTGTTATACCAGATGGAGTACCAAGTATAGCTTGGAGCTTTTAGGTATTTGTTTTTAAGCTGGCCTGTCCTGATTTCATATGTTTTTGGTGTAGCTAGGGTATGGAAGTTTTCCCTTTGATAGGTTTGATTAAACATTGTGCGTTACATACTAGAGGGTGATCTGCTGAAAATGTGCAGCAGATACCTGGGTTATACTTGGTCACTTCCACTTGTGGAATATGGAAAATACATCAGGAAGAGACCTCAAGAGTTTACTCCAATGATGTGTCTCTGCTCCTGGTCAGGGGTCAGGTCGTTTACACCATTTCTGCTTTATGCCTGTCCTACTCTTAAAAAGCTCCAGTGACAGAGCATCTGCATCGCTAGAAGGCAACTTATTTCACTGTCTAACTAATATCCTATAAATGTCACTGTGCTTTCCTTTAAAGACAAACAAAAAATTTGGCCACCTGCTCTTTGATTTCCATGTCTGCATTTCTTAATCAGTTCCCCTGTCTGTAACATGGGGATTATGTTGCTGACTTCCTCTCTGAAATGTCTGGATGTCTGCTTATGCAAAGTGCCATGGAGAGCTCAGGATTATTACTGCTGTTCATACAGAATTCCCCAGGCCTGCAGAATGGGCCTTTTACTTATTCATGTTTAGCTTAATAGACAGAAGCTGCTATGCTATCTGTAGCAGCCCAGGCTTGGAGCCTGTCGAAAAAGCACTTTTGCCTCAGATCTTGGCTGCAGCAAGTAAAGAATTGCCTAAAGAATTTCTCTTACTAGTATGCTTTTGTGTCTTCCTTCCAAAAGAAGCTGATCCCGACTTGTCAGACTGGGTCTCTTGAGCACTTCTGGGGTGGGAGCCTCTGTGAGAGGGCAGTGCTGGATTTCTTCCTCTTCATTTCCCATTTTGAAGAATTTCTTTGCAACTTCTGGAACTGTATTGGTCCATCAGCTATCTGAATGTAGTGGGTGAGGCTTTCCTTCTCCCCTGTGAAGTCTTCCTCCTTTCTTTTTTTCAAAGCACTGGAAAAATCTAAATTTTTTAGTCTGTTTCTCAAAGTTAATTAATTAGATGATACAAAGCCTGTCAGTATGTGAAGTGCAACAGATGCTGGTGCATACATTGGAGTATTTCAGCTTCGTATCTTTCTGAAGCTAGTACAGTAAAAAGTTCATTGTGGCCATATTTGGAGTATAATAGCTACAGCATTCTTCAGTAGATAGCATTGTAGTACTCTTGAGGAGTTTTTAGGCTTTTTTTAGGCAATAAATCATCATGATTTATAATCAGACTGCATAGACTTAAACCTGTCATCATTTCTTCTAGTTTCTTTTTGGCTTAAATCCAGTCAACTTGTACAATATATAGTATTTATTTACAGTTTTAAATGTTTGGAAACATTAAACTAGGGTTTAATGGAATAGTAGTTTGATGCAGCAGTTTCTATTGATGTCATCAAAGTTGTTTTACAGAAGAGCCTTTTCAGTCCTGGCTTTTAGCCCAAGGTTGATCTGGTTTCACAGAAGTTAGTTTAATTTCTGATGTATTTTCTTTTCCTTAGGTGTCAGTTGTTGCTCCTTTCCTAGCCAGACACGAAAATCTGCCATCGCTCTGCTCGTTACTGTGGTAGCAGTTTCCATCTTGCACAGCAGCATTAAGAGTCAGACTGCAGTCTCTTGAATGCAGTAAATTCTGTCGGGGTGGAGACAAAGTTGTTCGTGCTGTTACTCAGTCTAAATATTTGAATTCTGTTGCTTAGAAAAAGCTGTTTAGTGTGGCACTCTAGATTAAAGTTTTGAGATGCCATTTCCAGTGCTTGGTTATAATCACAGGTAGTTTAACTTGCTCCAAAATAACTAGTTTATTCTTATTTGCTGAATTCAGTTCAATCTCACAGAGTTGTTGTAATTGTCCTACACTGGCAAATTTATGGGACAGACCTTATATGGTATTGATGTGGATTCTATTTCTGAAAAGTGCAGGTTTGGGAGCAGTTTTATAGTGCACTGATTCTCCATGCTTCTGATTTCAGTGCTCTCCGAGAAGTTAGTGCCTTCTTATGCTCCCAGCTTTTTATTTCGTTGGTAATGAAAAGAGGAAGTGGACCGGATCGGATCAAATCAAGCTGAAGTCTGTGCTGTTCTTGCAGTTGCTGCTCCCAGAGGATCTGATCGCTGTGTTCTTAACTGTACGGGAGTGTGGCTGTTCTGGTCAGTGTCTGCCAACAGAGGCTGCTTCTGGCAGGGGTGCACCTGAGTTATCACAAGTAAACACTGGGAAGATGTTCTGTACTGCATTGCAGGGCATGAAACTGCTTATTTCCACCACCACCCCTCCCCATTCCCCTCCATCTCGGTGGCATGCTAATCTGTTCAAACAAATCCAGTCTCTGCTATCTCGCCTGATTAACAAGTCAGTGCAAATATGACTGCTGCCTCCCCCAGTAGCTTCCAGCTTTCCAGAAGTGGGTGGGGAGTTCTTGTGAAATTCTCCATTCCTGGATGCCGGCTGTTAGCGTTTGTCCTGGCACCCAGGCAGTAGGGATCAGTTTCTCTTTCTAATTGCATATGTTTCAATGAATCGTCATGCAGTGCTCTTAAATCACTTGTCCAGACAGATGAAAGCATTGCTATTGCCACTCGTGGTTGTACTTGGGAGTGGTGGTGAAACTGAGAACATGAGGAATGTTAAAATTGTACTAGTAAATTGCTTTGGTGTGGTTGAGGGGTACCAAGAAATACTTGAATTGCAGGCTATTTTTTGTTTGAAAAATGCACTGCTTTCTTCTTGGTGGGCTCCCTTGAACCAGATCATTTCCATTGATTTTACTTTTGAGTAAATGATAAAGAACTGGAGTTAATGCTTGAGATCTGGTTTGTCTTATTTGATCTCAGGCACTTTGGGTTACAATCCAAATGCTATGAGAGAGAGAGATTGTACCAGACGTTCCCATGTCTGTAGCACCATTCAGCACGACTAGATTTCTATGATCTTCTCCTGTGGCTTTACAGAGGTGCCAGGTGCTCGTAGCATGTAGCTGATTTGGCTGCAAATCATGGATTTGGTGCATGAAGTTGAGGGTTTGGGATTCATATTTCATTAATGTGGACACCATTGCAGCTACATGTTTTTTCCACATTGATCCCAAGCGAGTACGTCTTTGTCCTTTCTGTAAAAATAACAGGCTCCATTCTGAATTTGGAACTGCACAGTACACTAATGACCTCATCTATTATAGCCCTTGCCTTTTGCTGTGTAGTTTCTTTAACTATTCTCTCATCTGCAAGCAGTTCTCACAAACACTGGTAAAACTTCCTGTGTATACCAAAGTTAGACACACACCTTTTATATTGTAACAACATATACATATTTCTTTTGATTTTGGGGGCTAATGACATGGGTTAACACATTTTAATAGATGGCTGGTTGCAGCTGTCTATGTATATGCTTGTCTGTTTTGCTGTTAATTTAACCTCATGTTTAAATTATGTGTGTTTTCAGCCCTCAATGCATGCATATGTATGTCTCCATTTTTAATATATAAAAATATATATAGACACACAAGTAGTTCATAGCTAAATTAACACCAAATTATTGACAGGGACTTCTCTGCTTTCACTCTTCTTTGTATCGAGGCAATATATGAACTGTCATAGGGCATCTGCATCCTGTTCCTGCCTTAAGAATGTAGTCCTGCAGGGCAAGTCTCTCTGAGACCATTTGAAAGTACTTGCTTGATGTTTAGCACTTGGGGAAGATGGGCAGAAGAGTATCCTATTGTAGAAGTCTGTGTGCCTGTAAGTATAGAAACTCTTTGTAGCTGAGCAAGAATTTTCTCTATTTCTCTGAAGGTTTCTGTGCATCCTGACTGAAACCTGCAACAGAGATGGATACTGAAGGCTTTGGAGAGCTTCTCCAGCAGGCAGAACAGCTTGCAGCCGAGACAGAAGGTATCTCTGAGCTCCCTCATGTAGAACGTAACCTGCAGGAGATCCAGCAGGCTGGGGAGCGCCTGCGTTCCCGCACTCTGACCCGCACTTCCCAGGAGACTGCAGATGTTAAGGCGTAAGTATGGAGCACCAGCATCAGAAACTTTATGCAGAGGGTAGAAGCTGTTTACGGATTTGGTTTCTAGCATGTGGAGAGTCTTGCCAGGAGGACATGCCTGGGAGAAACAGAATAACTGCAAAGCTCTTTTTCCCACCCCCCCAACTTTCTCCTACTTAAAAAAAAAGTAATTGAAGCATTTATCTGAGGAGCTACCATTCCTGATTGCAGGCACTAAAGCCAGAAAGTGCAGCACCTTGTTCTGGCCGCTGCTGAAGACATTACCAACATGCTATAGAATTTTTCTATCTGGTAGGACTTGGCAGCTGCGCAGTACTGCAGTGGAACAGCAGAAAGAGTTCAGCAGGGCTGAGGTGGTTAGATATACACATAGGGCTGTTCAAAGTTTGGGTTTTATGCAGTTCTCATAATACAGCTGGGAGCACTGTCTGTACATGGCTAGCAGCTGACCTAAATATTGGCAAAGAATTTGGGTTTAGAGTTCTGTCTGTCCAATACTAATTTCATACCTCTACAATTTCTTCCTTGTAGGTCTGTTCTTCTCGGGTCTAGAGGGCTTGATATATCTCACATTTCTCAGCGACTAGAGAGTCTAAGTGCAGCCACTACATTTGAGCCTCTTGAGCCTGTGAAGGACACTGACATCCAGGTAGGGGCATTTCTGATGTGAATTACACTGCCCTTGTAACTGCCATTCCTGTGTTGTGGTTCAAAGCTCTTCTAAGACCATTGTGGAAATAGAATCATAGAATTGTCTAGGTTGGAAAAGACCTTTAAGATCATCCAGTCCAACCATTAACCTACACTACCAAGCCCACCTTGCTCTGTGTTTGATTCACTGGCTAGAGGAAGTACAGAGGAGAGATGCTGCTTTCAATGATGAAAGATGTTTGAGTTAGCCATCAGAAGCAGCATTAAGTACCAGATTGGCAAGAAGTACTTAAAGTTCCAAACTCTTGCTGAAGTCAAGAGGAACTATGTACTTACTGCCTTTGTGGAGCTTTGTTGGCTTTGCAAGGCTAAATTGCATAGAAATACCTCTCCCTCATAGTTTTGAGACCTTTTTTATGTCTGATTGGAAGAACACATGTGGAACCACTAGCAATTTTGAGGTGTTGGAATAGGGGACATTTAAGTCAATATGGAACACAGGTGAGTATAACTTTTTCTGTCACTGTATCTCAGATGTCATAACCTTGTCTGTGGTAGACTAACTTTGCCATGTTTCAAATGCTTTATCAGTGTGATTTAATCTTGTAAATTTTCCTGTAGATCATCTCCCCAGGTGTCTTAGAAATTGATGACCCATCTATTTCTGCTTTACAATAGTTGCCTGCCCTTGTAGAATATCTTCACGATTAAGAAATCTGTGGTATTCATTACTCAGTTAAGAGCTAGTTATGGAATTGATGTTGTGGGTTGCATTGAAGATAACACAGTCTGAATTACTGGTTAATCATTTTGAAGCTTATATTCTCTCTCCTTACTGGCAGATGGCTAAATCAGGAGGGTCAAAAGAGTTGTAAGCTCTTCTTTTTCAGAGAAGTAGCATGCCCTAAACTACTTCAGAAGGGAAAGGGAAGGAAGGGAAGCCTGTGAAGAGTTACCCCATTTTGTCTATGGTATGTTTTATTTAAGCACTTGGTGCCATCCGTTTTGTGTGAATGGGCCCTTAGTCTAGTCTCGCTCTAGTGTTAGGAGCCCTGTGGTGCTCATGGGTGAGCATGTGTGTGTGTTACTGTAGATTCTCAAGCCCAGAAGCAGTGGAACTCTTGACTGTTTGTTTGGATTCTGAGATTTGTGGCTGTCCTGGTTTTGGCTGGGATAGAAAGAAAATTAACTCTAGTAGTGGGCATAGTGCTGTGTTTTGGATTTAGGATGAGAATAATGCTGATAACACGCTGATGTTTTAGTTGTTGCTAAGTACTGCTTATGCTAGTCAAGGACTTTCCAGCTTCCCATGCTCTGCCAGGGGCACAAGAAACTGGGAGGGGGCACAGCCAGAATAGTTGATCCAAACTGCCCAAAGGGCTATTCCATACCATGTGACGTCATGCTCAGTATATAAACTGGGGGGAGTTGGCTGGGGAGCAGCGATCACTGCTCGGGAACTCTCTGGGTATCGGTCAGCGGGTGGTGAGCAATTGCATTGTGCATCGCTTGCTTTGCATATTAGCATTATCATATTGTTACTATTATCATTACTATTTTACTTTATTTCAATTATTAAACTGTTCTTATCTCAACCCAGGGGTGTTTCTCACTCTCACTCCTCTGATTCTGTCCCCCATCCCATCAGGGTAGGGGGAGTGAGCGAGCAGCTGGTGGTGCTTAGCTGCTGGCTGGGGCTAAACCACAACAGTGGCATATGGGAAAAATGGATAGGACTGCATGATACTCACATTTTACTTTTATTTTACTAGTTACCTAAACAAAATGTGAAAGCTTTCTTCTTTCTTAATTATACCAGATCTCAAGGCTTTATCACTTGATGTGGTGACTCTGGTATATCCTGGTGATGATCTCAGTATATATTTTCATCTTCAGTATACTTTTTTTTTAATGACCCATGTCAGTATTTGAATGTTTTTCATTAGAATGCATTTATTTTTTTAAAAAAAGGAGGTGTTCAAATTTTAATTCATGGCAGTTGACGTTATGGAGTAAGCTTGCTATAAACTATTAAGATTTATTTAAATAAAAATATGCATATTTATTTTTCAAACAAAAAAACAAGTGACAGATGAGATTTCTTAATTGGGAAAGTTTGAAGGATGTGGGAAGAGATTTTTTTTTTCAATATCTTACCACCTGAAATCAAGAGATTTTCAGCCATGCTTAAACAAATTTGGTATCTGAGACTCATTGATTTCAACTCCAGGTGACTTCTGTGGGAACTGGGTTCTTACCTTGCATAGGCATTCTTGCAAGTTTCTTAAATATTGGTCTGTTTGCATGTTTAGGTGCTGAAATGCCTCTGTCTAGCCATCATTTTCAATCTCTTTTTGCTGCTAAAGTTAATTATTTCTTTTTGTCTCATAGGAGAGACAATTTGAAATGCAAACATTTTGAAATACAAGTTAGATACCTTTTTCCTTATATAAGACTGTTTAATTGACTGAACACTTTTATATGGTCTATTTCTCATAGGATTCTAGTCCATCCTAGTGGAGCTTGACATGAAGCATGTGTGTAAATGTCATCTAGTAAATAAGAAATTTCTCGTAGTTTTCAAACTTAATGTTTAAGATTCTGAATAATACTGTGCTTTTTAAATAAGTTTATATTGTGAATATAGATACAATTGTATTCTTCCGTTATGGAAAAGCTTCAAATTTAACGTAAAAATAGTGGTTAATTGTAAATCAATGTGTTTAAATGGCCAAATCAGCCAATGAGATTCAGGCCTTCCTTTAGGGAAACAGCTAAAAAGTACAAATGAAAAGCAGGATTAAAATCAATAATTTAAATCAAAGTTTGCCCGCTTGCTGTTTTGAATCATGATTAACACTGGTGATTTAATCAGTGATCACTTTAATTTAAATCTAACCACTCATGTCTGAGGCCTAATACATGTGTGCTTTGAATCTTGAATTTTTTTTGCAGGCCATGTGCAGAAAGCGTTCATAGTAAACTAGCTGAAACAATTTGCAGTGGGAAGGTGCTCCTTTTTTAGGTCATCTTGCAGGCATATGAGTACCATGTCAGTCTTAAATGTTTTGTCCCTGTTTGTTTTGCAGTTAACAGGTGCAAAGATTTCTGTGGTGTTTTGCAGACCATCATCCTCTGCTCTGTCTGAGGATATTTGCAGTCAAATCTCAAGCTGTCTGGCTGATGTTGACAGTGGTCTGTTACCTGAAAGTAACTTGCTTAGATTATGGACAAGCCTCTGCACTCATCTGTAGGCTCTGGTACACAGTCATCAACAGCAGGATCTTGTCCTTTCAGAGTAGTTTTTAATTAATGTTTTGTTGTTAGTTACATATGAGGACTTTTGTGTTACACACTACTGATTGTCCTTTAGTTAGGTCTGTTAACCCAGTAGGTCTTAATTATTTGATGCTTTAGCTAAAGATGTGTCACTAAAAGCTGCTTCCTAATGGTACCTTTTTTTAATACCTTCTGATGATTATGTTGGGATTTGTTTTCATTCTTCCTAGCTTATTAGTTTCATAAGGCTTCTTCAGGTTTTTTGTGTTTATTTTGGGCCAGATGTAGCTATCCCTTTACACTGTGTAGCATTTTCCCTCCATAAGTTGCTCCCATTGTATCCTGAAGGCAGTGTGCAGGATGTTAAAAGGAAGGGATGTGGTTTATTGTTTTACAGGACTTTGCTATTCCTCTGCTGTTACTCAGTATTTACACAGACATACTGGTAGGCTTTAATTCTGTGGATTGGGAAGAGCTGTTCTGTTCTGCATCAAGCCTGCAGTCTGCACTTTCTAATGTTACCATTACTATTTTTAACCAACAAAAATGTCTTCCAAAATACTTAATGAGCTTTGTTTACAGTTTATCATCAGTATTGTAGGCTCAGCTGTCCTTTGTCAGTCCTGCCTTTTCCTGATGCTCACCACTTATACTCACAAGCCTGTATAGTTTGTAGCAAATTTGTTTACAAATTCAATCCCACCTGAAATTTGTCATTTGTAGATTCTTTAGCACTTTAATCGTTGTTGCATATGTAGTGTCCTTCGAGTTTCAGTTTGAGCAGGTAGTGTTATCAGTTCGTAAATACTGTACAGCATCATTTGATTAAGAGGCTGAAATTTTTTCTCAGGTGTGCACCTGAAACTGCAAGTCTGTGCTCTCTTCCTCCCTGTAAAACTGCGGTGGGACTCTACATTGGTACAGCCTATGTACACCACAGCGCAGGAGTAGGTGGTGCCTCTGGAGGTGAATATGGGCACTCATGCCAGAGGCATAGACCTAATGTTTAGCCTTTGCTGACTGTTGCAGTTATGTGAGGGTTACAAGTATGATTAAATCTTGACTGTATGATTTTTAGGTTTCTGCTGACTTCTAAATTCTATCAAAGTTCTTGCAGCATGAAAACTCTCGTTAAGACTTCCTGCCATGTACTCCCACGTTGCTCCTTTGCATCCAGTGATTTCCTGACAGGTTGCTTGAGCTTCTCCAGCTTTCTTACCTAAAGTATTTACTTATTGTATCTGTTTCTTCTTACGTTGCAGTCTATTCTAGCAGCCTGTATGTGGGCAGCATAGAGATAGATGCTAGAATCTAATCTCTCAAATGACGACAGCACTGCAGAGGGAGAATTCCAGGAAATATCCTGTTTCTTCTAGAGAGTGAGTAAAGCACAGCAAGAAAAATCAGAAGGGAGCATCCTAGGGCATGAAGTCTCAGGATGCTGATGTGAGGCATTCAGAAAGTGTTAAGAGAATCTAGAAATTCGCCTTAATAGAAGCCTCAGATTGGGTTAACAAGCAAGTGGGACTTTCTGTACAGAATCTCTTTTAAATGGTGCTCCACAGTGCTGACTAAAAAGAAGTGCACCAAATTGCAGCTCAATTAATTATCTGAATTATTTATCAGTTGTAAAATGTAGATTGCTTGCCCATAAAAGGGATGTGAGTCCAGGAAATGTCTCCCACTAGAGCAGTGGGCCGGGAAGATTATGAAAAAAGATTTTAGGCTTGCCACTAAATTATAGGAATTTGTATTTCTCCTCTCTCATTTCAAAGATTGTGTTCTTAAATTGCATCCAACTCAACAAACACTTCTCACAGCAAATCCAGTTCATAACAATTCCTATGTCAAGAGTTTATAAAGATGAAGATTTTTTTAAATTGTCAAAAAGCGCTATTTTGGCAAAATATTTTCAAAGTTGAATATGGTAGTCAAGTGATTCTTGATGCCATATTTAGCGCATAAATGCATGTTGGGTTTCCTCTTTGTTTGTGGCTTTTAAAAATTCCAGGTAAGGGTTATCATGCATGCTGGTGTATCAAAGATGGGGTATATGTGTATAAATATAATACTGACATTCTGTTCAGAAAAGGTATTTCTGCACTCTTACAAAGATGCAAACTATGATGTCCTATTCTTGTGAACAGTGTCGTAGCAGACCCCTCTCGGATCCCAGTAATGGCAGCCAGAGGAGGAATTATTACAAGTATATGGAAAGGCTGCACTATTGTAACATGTAAGCTAGGACCTGGCTCTTGCACGTGTGCTGTTTGGTTTATGTATGGATGTCAGAGAGAGGTTCGGTGCTGCTCTAGTAAACTTGTTTGGGGTACCTGGTAGGGGTTAGTTGCAGGATCAAGGTCCGATTTATACCTACTAAGATAGTTTGACTGATTACG